CTCGACCAAGAAGGACCTTGCTCCAGTCGAGGTGACTGCAGAAGATACTGATCGTAAGGAAAGAAATGGAGAAACCAGAACAGTGGACAAAAACTCTTCAACGGCGCGAGATCAACGCTAGGGTAAAAAGGTGAAATCGTCGAAATTTGATGCGCCTTTCATCAGTAGTGAAGGAATTCGGTCGAAATAGAACAACAATCGAACAATTACTGTCAAACCACTCAAAGAATTGTATAGACTGTGCCATGTTCAGACAATGCCCGAAGGCCAGATGATGTGATATCTAAATTTTTGATACCAATATGATGTCTTACCAGTTAAGGCCAGATGATGTGATATCTAAATTTTTGACTAACAATATGATGTCATACCAGTTCACCAACATTTTACCAATTAAATGAACTTTTGATGTGATTGAAGCAAAAAGCCGAACTGATGAAAAAACTAAGTGAGGAAGTTGAGGGGGGGGGGAGACTCCTGGGAGTGTGAAGCCTGGAAGCTCCTTCACTTATAGTGTTCCACTCATCAAGTTCTAACGACTTGTAGAGGTTGTGTGCATGGCTGGTCCTGCCCGGTCACGACCATAACCAGTCAGGCGCTCGCTTTGGCCCCGGTGCAATATGGAGCCAACAGGGAGGTGGCAGCACAAAATGCAAATAACCAGTCAGGCGCTCGCTTTGGCCCCGGTGCAATATGGAGCCAACAGGGAGGTGGCAGCACAAAATGCAAGCCCTGGTGCAATATGGAGTTAACAGGGAGGTGGCAGCACAAAATGCAAAAACTGCAAAGCCTCGAGGATCCGAACCATCAACCCATCCTAGTCTTCCCAACTCGAATACCACATCACTATCCACCACACCATCCGTCGCTTTCAGCACATTAACCATGGAGAGGATGTTTGAAAGTTCCCCGCACTTTTCAACATGTTTCAACATGTGGCTCGCTTTTTTGGCTACCGTTCGCGTTATTTTCAATGCGCAGTCCACAGGCGCCTTCTACTGTGCGTGCAGTCGACGCCATGAACGAAAACAAACGACGCTGAGTGGGTTAGAGCGACAATTTCTGACAAAATCATTTTCACTTCTTTTTAGACATTCACAAGGCCATTCAGCAGAAATGGACCATAGTTCTATATTCAGTGCTCATGCCCCTACACCATGCAAAAAGTCATTTTCAAAAAGCGTTCCACGCCCTGAAAGACCTTCCTTGTTAAAGGAATGAGATCATGGATCGAGTTTTGTGGGGGATGTGGTTTTTACATTTAGCGGGGCTTTTTCCTCAATAAAGGGAAAACCTTTGTATTACTTCTTTTTAGACATTCACAAGGCCATTCAGCAGAAATGGACCATAGTTCTATATTCAGTGCTCATGCCCCTACACCATGCAAAAAGTCATTTTCAAAAAGCGTTCCACGCCCTGAAAGACCTTCCTTGTTAAAGGAATGAGATCATGGATCGAGTTTTGTGGGGGATGTGGTTTTTACATTTAGCGGGGCTTTTTCCTCAATAAAGGGAAAACCTTTGTATTGTATTGTACTGTATTTGTAACCCTGCCACTGCTCCAAATCACCACCGCCAGCCCTTTGCTTCCATGTCTCAAGTGCTCGTTTGCGTTGAACACTTGCTTGAGACCTTCATCATAACTTCAAAGAATCGTTAGGGATTAGGGAAAGCATATTTGAAATCGGTGTCAGTACATACGTATATGGGAACATCTGACTTTAGTTCGCGACGGTGAGACATTCCTTACAATTATTTTTGCGTTCTAACGACATTTCTTTGATTTTGGAGTGAGTGAATCCGAAGTCAAAAAAGAGTTTGTGCTCCATCAATCTTGATCTAGCCGTCCCCATCTGTAATCTTTGAGGCAACCTCTTGGTAATCTTTTTCAGGTAATACCACTGCGGCACACAAACAGACATACATACAAACAGACAGACAGACAGACAGACAGACAGACAGACAGACAGACAAACGAAAAAACAAGCAAACAAACAAACAAACAGGTGCTCCAAATCTGAGGTATATATA